AGAGACCCGAATTGGTGGAGGACATGGACAAAGCCCCCCTAGGAGAAGCATCTTGTGGGGGGCGGAGGGGGGTGGCGAGGAGGGGAACACCAGCTCAGGCAGAGAGAAAAGACAGTGTTTGGTCACCGGGTAAACCCCCTGTAGGGTCCATGGGTTTCCTCTGTCTTGAACCCTCTTGTCGCGGGCTCTGTCCCTATGAGATGACCCACCTCCCTGGGCAGCCACTGTTTGGCAGCTCAAGGAGATAGGAGCCCTGGAGGGCAGGGCCCCCATGCTCTCAGGCCCCTCTTGCTCAGCCCCAGCCCCACCCTTACCTGTTGACAAATGTCTGCAAGGAGCCCCCCACCTCCCAGCAGGCAGGAGGGAGAGCCTGGGTACAAACCACTGCCTGCTTTCCAAGTTCCACCATGTCTCCATGACCCAGCAAGGAACTCGACCATTCTGGCCTCAGTTTCCTGTAACGTGGGCGTCACATGCACCCCTACCGGGGCATGGTGAGAAAGAATGGGGTTACTGTGTGAAAAGCGTGTACTCCATGTGGGGCCCCTGGTAAGCCCTCCTATCATAGCATGTTGTTACCATTATCTGTGAAGCATTCAGAGCCACCTGGTAAATGGGTCAGTCCGTCCCCGGCAAATGTTAGCTGTTGTCATTGCTGTGTACCAGGCTCTGTGCTCAGCGGACTCCTGACAACCACGAAAAGTAGGCACCGATACTGGCCCACTCAGCAATGAGGAAGCTGAGGCTCAGAGAGGTGAAGTCACTTGCTCAAGGTCATACAACGAGGCCCCAAAGCTGGCATCTGAACCGGGATTGCGTCCTCTCTTAGCCCGGACTCAGTCACTGCCCCAGGTTCCTTTCCCACCCACAGCAGACGTGCCCAGGGGCTGGCCTCCATAGACCCTCTGGGAGGTCCCAGCCAGGCAGCACGATGGCCAGCCATCTCCATCCCGTACCTTGGGTACCAAGCAGGGGCACAGTACCCAAGGTAAGGGATCCCCCAGTCCTCGAGAGCAGAGAGCATCAGGATAGGGCTGGCATGCCTGGGGGAAGGGGCGGGGACTGGGCAGGCAAACCGGTTGGGCAGCTGGGCTCCCAGCTCAGACCTCTCACCAGTTGGGCCTGCACGGCTGGTGGTGGGGCTGGAACAGCAGCTCGGCAGAGCAGGGAGCTGGGGCCGCGAGGCCACCATCAGGTACGGAGGACCCCAGGCTGGGGGGGAATGGAAGGCAGGGGCGCCACATGCCTGGCCCCCAACCCTCACTGAGCCCCAACTCTCACCACTGCCCTTGGCTTCACTCTGTCCTGCCCCCTGCCCCCAATAGCATCCTTCCCTCACTTCTGCTTTCCGTGCTTCACATTTTAAACCCAGGGCGCCCCTGAGTTTAAACCCGTCTTCCCTGAGTTTGCTCGGCCCCGCCCTTAATTGGACCACCCTGCTTTCAATTCCACCCTCAGAATTCCCCCTCCCTTCAGCCCCTCATTCAATCCCCAAATGTACCCAGCCCTGAGATTCGGTCATTGGGTGCTCCCCGCCCCCTCGCTCTCGGCGCACCAGGTTCATGTCCTTCAAATGGCACCAGCCCCCACCTCCCACAGCACAGAGCCCCAGTGCCTAGTTCCTTCTTAAATTTACTCAGCCCCGCACTGGCTCCCACGTTTCCCCAGCCCACATCTGCTCACCACCCACATTGTCCTGGCCTCTTGGGAACTCAGGAGCTCCCAATCACCCAACCCTTGGAAATCTCACCCACCCCAAATTAACCCTCCACCACCTCTGCTCTCCGTCCTCCCGAATCGGGCCATCTGTCCCCCAGTCCTGACCTCTCACTTTTACTCTGAAGAGCGCCTCCGCCCCACCTGGGTGACCCAGGACCCCAACATCGGAGATGGGGGTCTCTCATATGTCCAAGGTCACAGGTGGCTGTCCCTGGGCTGGGCTCTTGCTGCTGGTGCCCCAGGGATTTGGGCACTGAGACCACCATCTCCCTCTCTAAGGAGGCCCTCAGCCACCATGCACCAGCACTATATCCACTTCGCCAAGGGCACCCTGCCCCCCCGGAACCTCACCGAGAGCTACTTCTTGGACCCTGAGTTGGGGCACCAAAAAGGTAGGGGTTCAGTCTGGGGGGGTCCTAGCAGGGAGAGAAGGCTGTGAGTGGGGGACTGCTGACTGGATGGTGGAGCAGAAGGAAAACCTCAGACCCCAGGAGAGAAGCCACCAGCACACCCCACAGAGGCTTCGGCATAAGGGGCCATGAGGGGCCAAGGGGGCTATGGGGTGACAACAGGCCCAAAGGTGGGAGCCTAAGCTGGGGATGTCAGCAGGGAAGGCCCACCTGGCCTGCCCTTCCCCCAAGATGGGAAGAAGTCTACTACCCCAAATCGCCAGGCCCGTGGGGACTGCCCCCGCAACCTGGGGGGAGCAGTGTGGTGGCAAGGAGGGATAGAAAAGTGAAATCCCCAAGTGAACATGTATGAAGGAGGCAGGTGCAGCTTCCTGGGGTGACCTACACCTTCCAGGGCAGCCCCCGTCCCACTAGCCTGTCCGGAGCCCAGGTGCCTGGCCCACCCCCCTTCTTCCCAGTCCCTCCCCTATCCCATCATTCTAGCTGCCTCCGGACCAACCAGGCCAGCTCCCCATGGATTCCTCTGTCACCCCCACTGGGGGACCCCCAGGGACTGAGGAATTCGGTGTAGCAGGGACTCTGGGTGTCATCCCCTTGCCAGCCCCTTTCCTGGGTGAAGCCCAGGCCCCTGTAGCTCTTTTCCCCTACCCATGGTGGCGCACAGAGCCCTCGGCATTTCCTCTCTGACTTCTGGGCCTCAGCCGAGGATCAGCTCCACTCTCTTATCTGAAGACCCACCCTGGCTCCTGCCAGGGCCCCCCAGGAGTCCAGGCCCCAGGCCCAGTCACCTCCTACTTCCTTCCTTCCAGGATGCTGTCACCAGTGGTGCCATGACCCAGCTGCCCTTCAAGCCCATGGGCCCTGTCAACCACCCCCCCACGTGCAGTGGCAGCTGGCCTACCACAGCCACCGGGAGGGTGTCAGGGGCTGTTGCCGAGGCCCCCAGCCCCCTATCTTGCAGCAGCTGCAGTGGCACCCCTGGCCCCCACCTCCTAGCCCCCTGCGTCAGCGGCTCTGTCCTGTTCCCAGTGGCCAGAAGGGGCCACCTACAACCACCACTGCCCCCATGAGACCGGCCAGCGCCCCCCAGCCACCCACTGCACCCACCACGGCACCTGCCATGGCCAGCAGCGGCCCAGCCCCGCTCTCCACAGCCCGCATCCTCCAGGATCCCAGCAGGCCTGCTGCCGCCCGGGCCCTGCCTGTCCCAGCATTCTGCGGCCCCTTCACCTCCTACAGCTCCGGTGCTCACCCAGCCCCCCTGGGAGCTCTGTTCCTGCCGCCACGCTTTCCACCTGGGCCTGGGGCCTGCCCTCATGCCTCACTCTGGTCCCTGTCTGAGAGGGCGCTCGTCCCTGACCCTGGGCCTTGGGGCAGCTATCTTGGCTTCATCTGTTGGGATCCAAGGCTTCCAGGCCAGGCCTGTCCATGGTGCCTCCATCACGGGCTGGCCAGGGACCGGAGCCGCAGCTCTCTCCCTACGCTGACCCTTGCTCTGCTTTCTGTCTCAGTGGCGCTCTGTCCCCTGGCCCAGCAGGCCATGGGGGACATGGGGCAGGGGTGACGAGCACCAGCTTGCTGGCCAGCTCTGGTGTGGGGGAGACGGGCAAGTGAGCAGCTGCAGCAAGAGGTAGGGAGTGGCCTGGGTGATGGAGAGAGCAATGCGGTGATGGAAGGGATCCACCCGTTCACTCATTCATTCTGTGACTAGATATTAAACGCCTGTTGTGGGTGCCAGGCTCTGTTGGGTGTGGGGGGCGGGGGGCACAGGGAGCAGGGCAGACAGACTGCTGCCCTCCCAGAGCTCACGTTCTATGGGTGGTGGGGGGTGGCGGTTACAGGAAATGAGAAATAGAAATGTTTAAAAGCGCATCACCCCGTGATAGCTACTTTAGGGAAAATGCAGCAGAGAAGACGGAGCATCAGGGTTTGCAAATTCAATAGCATCATCAGGTGAGGCCTCATTAAGGCAACATTTGAGCAAAGCCAGGGCAGTGCTCTCAAGTAAGTGGCAGCAGGCTCAGCAAATGCCGACTCTGGGGGTGGCCTGTTCAAGGGACAGTAAGGAGGTCAGTGTGGCTGAAGTGCAGGGAGTGAGGGGAAGAGGACAGATGGAGTCAGAGAGGGCAGAAGGGATGGGAGATGACTCAGGAGCTAACAGGAAAATGAACTGTAGGAGGTGGGGGCGGACGCAGGAGTCCAGGCCAGAGGTGCTGGTGGCCCGACGGTGGAGGTAGAGTCATGCGGCTGGTTTCCAAGTCTGGTTGGAAACAGCTGAGCAGGGGACTGGGGCTCCAGGTCAGGCACAGCCTTGTCACTGGAGCCTCTGGGCCACAACGCCCATTTCACACACAGACACGTAGAGGCTCAACCAGGTGAGGTCACCCACCCATCAGGCAGACTGGGAGCAGATCCACCTCTCAGCTGACCTTATCCCGGCTTCTCCTCCTGCCCTCCCAGCTGTGCCTCCAGGCTCAGCTGGCCCTCAGGGAGGGACGGTTCCTGCAGCCCACAGCCTCTCTGAAAGTGGGTGTGTTATCCCCACCACGCACTGTGAGGCTGGCCCAGTGCCCCCGCTAAAACTGAGCCCTACCTGTCTGGTACCCCAACTCTAGGTCCAAAAAGTAGTGCTCAGTGGGGGCTCCAGGGAGAAGGCAGGACATCTCCTACAGAGAGGACACCATGGTGCTTATGCCTGGTACCAGGATTTAAACTGGAGTCTGTGCCCTGAACAGCCTTTCCTGCCTCTGGCCAGACCCTTTGGCACCCATGACCCCAGCACCTCTGCCACTCCACTCATCAGAATAGGGGGCTGTGCCCGCCCGGGTCATGCAGAGAAAGGTGACGGGGTCAGGACCGGAAGGCAGGTCTGCCCCGGGCTCAGGGCAGGATTTGTGACTGTGGGCATGGGGTCGTGGAGAGGAAGGGAGGTCAAGGGTGGACAGGAAACAGAGGAGCCTGTGGTCACTGGGGCCTCTTCACATTGGAGCCAGGCTAGCAGAGCAGACAGGAGCTGACACTCATCTTAAGCATCTGAGGGTCTCTAGTCTGAAGATTTTCCCAGGGGAACCATGGTCTGGTGGCTGAGCCTGGTGACCTAGGGCCAGTGCAGCCAGATTCCCACAGGCCTCTGGGCTGGGGCTGGGGGTAGTCTAACCTCCCAGCCTTTGGCTGGTGTTTCTGGGGTCAGCTCCTGGGGGGCCCGGAAGGGCACATCTTGCCCTGGACGAGGGGACTGCCACAGGAACCCCTGTCCATCCAAGGTTTGACCTGAGTCACCTTGGGGAGGGGCATGACTGCGCAGGGAGGGGCTGAGGGCAGGCACTCTGGAGGGCAGATGGGAGGAGGGTGGTGCCTGGCCAGCCTCATTGACTCAGTTTCCCCACCTCTACCCTTTCTCCAACCTGGGCTCCCAGATATCCTGACAGAGGATGATGTCTACTGCAGCTGCCTGGCCAAGACCCTCTGCCACGTGCCTGTCCCTGTGACCGTGGGTTTCTATGCCCCCTTTGGCTGCCGCCTGCACTTAATGCTGGACAAGATCACCGGTGAGGATCTGCGTGTGTTGGGGGTGGGGGTACAGAAAACAGAGCATCTGGTCCCTGCCCAGCCCCAGGCTTTCCCAAGATCCACTTGGCCTGGAGGCCAGCCTGCCCCAGTGCAGATGCCCATAACTCAGCTTTAACCTGATCCCACCCATGCCCACAGCCTTTGCCCCCCAGATCCCTGCTCCAGTTCCCTCTCTAGCCTCCTGGCCTCCAGTCTTGCCCCCTTCCCCTGCCAAATCCACTTCAAGGAATCTTTCTAAAATAAGATTTCTAAGATCTAGCTCTGTCCTTCCTCTGCTCAAAAGCCTTTTATGGCTTCCCAGCACCCTAGGGAGAAAGCCCAGGTTCCTCCTGAAACTGCAGGCCCTTGCCAAATTTCTGGTGGCCTCTGTGTCCCCCAGGCCCATCTTTTCTCCTCAGCTCTGGCTCAGGGTCTGGCGTCCACAAGAGCCCTAATAGATAGGTGTTAACTGAAGACATGAGCTGAAACCTGGCCAGGATCTGCAGCGGGCTGGACCTGGTTCAAACCGATAGAGCTCAGACCCCAGCCCCAATTGTGGCCAGAGGGGCTGGAGATGGTGACTCACTTCCATGTGCCCAGGCCTGGTGAGCACCTAACTAAACAAGCCCAAGTCCTTCCCTGTTTTGTCACAGAGCAACACGCAGGGTCTTGGAAGGGAAAAGGAAATGGCATATGAGGTGCTTACTCTGTGCTAGGTGACCCTGACACAGTCCCACTCATTTGTTCACCGACCGCATAGCAGACAGATCCTGCGCCTAGCCTCTCGTGATCCATCCTTCAGACATTCCCCCAGCACCTCCTAGGTGTCCAGCAGACATACGGTGACCAAGACAACCAGGGTCCTGCCCTTGAAGGGCTCACAGTCCAGAAAGGGAGACACACCTGTCCCCAAACAGTGACGACTGAAATGGGGGAGCCTGGGGGTGCCTAATCCAGCCTGGGGATCAGAGAGGGCTTTTGGAGGAGACAGATGAGCTGAAAGCTGTAGGAGGAGAAGCAGTAAGCCAGGAAAATCAGACCAAGGCTGTACCCTCGCTGCCCAACATACTCTTCCTCAGAACCTCGCATCCATTCTTTCACTCTTTAGAGCCTTCCCTGCCCCCCTCCCATCCTTTCTCCTCTGGGGTCTCCATGTATGCCGCGACCTTGGGCCTTGCCTTCAGACCTTTTCCGGTCCACGCTCGGCTCCTGCACCTTCTGCACCTGCCGCAGCTGTTTCCGCTGTGCCCCGGCTCTTACATCCAGGCCCCTATCCGAGCCCCGCCTCCAGACGAGCCCCGCCCAGGTCCGAGCTCCGCCCCTGGCCCAAGGCGCGCCGGGATCACCCAGCCACCCACGCTGACCCCCTCGCCCTCCGTACCCACAGAGCTGATGGAGCAGGAAGCGACGCAGCGCGAGTCGGAGCTGCTGCAACAGGTGCAGTGGCGGCCTCGGTCGGTGAGTGGCTGGAGTTTCCCGCAGCTGCTGTGGTACCTGGTGTTTCTGCAGCCGGTCATCACTGAGGTGCACCTACGGCGCAAGAACGTGAAGTTCCTCTTCATCCGCTTCAGCGCCTGGCAGTATGCGGGTGCCGACAAGCTGTGGGCCGGCTTGGTGACAACACTGTGCGAGGGCATCCGCCGCCACTACGGCGCGCTGCCCTTCAGCCTGTACTCGGTGCTGGGCAACAAGCCAGCCACGACCAACGGCTTCCGCCAGTGCGAGTGGCACTGCCGGCGCCGAGTGTGCCTGGCGCTGGTGGTGCTGGTGGCGGCGCTGGGCATTGGCTTGGCCCTGCTCTACCTGTCACTGGGCACCCATGCGCTGAGCCACACCAGCGCCAACAGCAGCCTGCTGCGAGTGTTCGGCGGTGCAGCCACTACGCTGTCAGGCTCCGGGCTGCTCATGGCCGTGTACTCGGTGGGCAAGCACCTGTTCGTGAGCCAGCGCAAGAAGATCGAGCGGCTGGTGTCGCAGGAGAAGTTTGGCAGCCAGCTGGGCTTCATGTGCGAGGTGAAGAAGGAGGTAGAGCTGCTCTCCGACTTCCTGTGCTTCCTGGAAATCTACCAGCGGCGCCGTTTGCGTGTGGTGCTCGAGGTCACCGGGCTGGACACTTGCTACCCGGAGCGCGTGGTGGGAGTACTCAACGCCATCAACACGCTGCTGTCCGACAGCCACGCACCTTTCATCTTTATCCTAGTGGTGGACCCCAGCATCCTGGCCGCGTGCCTCGAGAGTGCCGGCTCGATGAAGGGCACGGCCGACAACGGCTACCTCTTCCTCAACCGCACCGTCACGCTGCCCTTCTCCGTGCCCATCATGGGCCCCCGCACCAAGCTGCAGTTCCTGCACGATGCCGTGCAGAGCCGCGACGACCTGCTCTACCGCGAGATGACGCGCCAGCTGCAGCCGCAGCACCCCGTTGGCGACGAGGGCGAGCAGCTGCTGGCGGTGGAGATGCAGGCGGGGGCCGAGCGCACACAGAGCCGCATCGACGCCGAGGCAGCGCGCCGCATCCAGGAGGCGCTCTTTTGCCTGCACAACGAGCGCGACTGCCTCTACGAGTACGTGCCGGACAACGTGGTGTCCATGCGACGCATCGTCAACACCGTGCCCATCACCATGCGCCTGCTGCAGCAGCAGCAGCGGGATTTCGGAGGTCCCACGCCACGCCAGGCCGTGGCCTGGGTCGTGCTCGCCAACCAGTGGCCCTGCCGCCTCAGCTGGGTGCTGCAGTGCCTGGAGGACCGGCAGCAGTCCGGGGGCGCACACGAGGCCCGCGCTCGCCTCTGGGACGTGTTCTGCGACAACAGCAGTGAGCTGCACACCATGACCAAGGCGCTGCAGAATGTGTTCGACCTGGACGGTGACCCCGAGCTCTTCGAGCGCTTCCTGGGTGCCGACTTCCCCTTCACCGTAGCCGAGGCTCAGAGCCTGCTGCGCTGCACCATCAACCTGGACCACTCCATCCGCCGCCGCATGGGCCTCATCCGGGCGGTCAGCTCGCTCAAGCCGCCCAGCCCGCCCAAATCCCCGGCCAGCGATGCCCCCCGCGCCGCCAACAAAGCCAACCACGGCCCCCGGGTGGCCAATGCAGCCAACGGAGCCAACCACGCCCCGAGGGCAGCCCAGTTAGGCCACCCCTCAGGACACAACTCTGCGCACATCAGCGAAGACCGCCACCCAGCAGGGCATGCCCCTGTGCACATCAGCGAGGCCCGCCACCCGGCAGGGCATGCCCCTGTGCACATCAGCGAGGCCCGCCACCCAGCAGGGCATGCCCCTGCGCAAGTCAGTGAAGCCCACTACCCACGGGATTCAACCCACAGGGACAAGCCGAGAACCTGGCTTGAGCTCTCTGTGGAATCTAACTTAGGGGGGCATTGAATGGAGGACTCCCGGGGCAGCAGGGGACAACAGCTTTCCTCTGCCTGCCCAAATGAGGACACATGTAGGGGACCCAACTGGGCCCAAGGCCCAGGGTCCAGTGTTGGGAATGAGGACTTTGGTGGCTATATTCCCCAGGTGAACCTGTGAGCCAGAGAGCTGTTGGCAGTAGCTGACAATAGTGCCAATGTCCGAAAGCTGGCACCAAAGGACCACTGAGGAACTCAGGGTTCAAGCGCCAATAAATGAAGGTATGAAAGCCCTTGATTGGTTTTCACACCCTGGTCTCCCTGGCTTACTTAGCAAGGACTGGGGACCAGGCCTGCACTGTCCTGCCAGCCCCATTTCCTCCCCAGGTAGTCAGCGGCATCAGCCGGCAGCCTCATGGCTGTCATCCCTTGGGCAAGAGGGGTGTGGGGGTGGTGGGTGAGGCCCAGGCAGGGCGATGAAGGACGGATGTGCTGCATTGACTCAGGCAATGAAGAACGCCCAGGCCTCAGGGGATCCAGGTCCTTGTCCCCACATCCTAGCCTGCTCCTCTGTGGGCAGGGCAAGAGCTGGCATTTTCAAGAGTGGTGTCCAGGGCGACCTCAGTGGGCTGTTCCACTCTCGGGATGGCTCCACCCCCAGCATAATGGGTGAATTAGGCCTTGCTGGCACCTCAGCTAGCTGGGTGGGCAGCACTGCCTCCCTGGATAAGTAACTGTCCAGGGGAAGCTGCCTCAGGGTCACTTCAGGGCTCCTGGATGAGGACAGGGGAGTTGAGCAGAGCTGGGGCATGTGTAGGACAGTCGGTGCCAGAACTAAACTGAGATGAGGGCTGTCCTAGGGCTGGACTCTGGCACTGCCTTCTGCTCCCACCAGTGGGAAAGAGACCTAGGATGGGGCGTCACTCCTCAGGGTGGCTTCCCAGTCCTGTGGCATGCTTGGCACAGTCCGGGGGGGAGGGGGGACCAACACTTAACATACCCTGTGTGACCAGAGGTCAACAGCATGACTTCTGAGCCAGGGTCCTGAGGGCTGAGCGGACAGTCCCAGAGGGAGCCTAGAGCTCTTCGAAGGCACCCACCCTCAGGCCACATGGCCTGGTGGCAGTACTGACCTCATTCCTTAGCTTCAAGGCTGTGCACAGCACCCCAGCTCCCCTGGTCAAGGATTGTGCCAAAGTAGACGCCGGGCAGAGTTAGCCCGTGACTTCTACAGGGGCTGCCAGGGCTAGGGCGCCGATTTTCAATCCTGGCATGGCTAATCTGGTGGGAAAACCTAGACCCGCAGAGAGAGGTTTTCCAACAGCAGGGGAGAGTATGCCCAAGAATGAAGTCCCGTTAGAGAGACACACGGCTCCTCGTGACACTATTAGATGAGTGTCTTGGTAGACATGCTATTTGAGCCATTATATGGCCCTTCCCTTTTGCCTCCCTTAAGCCAATATGACTCGGGCTTCTGTTTCTTACCATGGAAAAACTGAATTCCTCACTCCAAGCTGGAGTCCGAGTGCAAAACAGATTGGCACCAGGAGGGCTGCAGGAGGCAGGACCACCCCATAGCCTTGGCTAGAGAACTGAGGACCCCTGGCCCCAGGAAAAGGCTGCAGTCCTGTTATGTGGTGCTGAGCAGTAGTCAAACTGTTGCCCATTGATCTTAGACTCTGTGTGCCTGCCACAGCTAGTTTTGGGAAACTATAAAACAAAAACAAAACACGATGTCACAAGGGCTGGGTGTGGCCGATGGCTCCCTGTCCACCAGGATTCTCGGTCCCCTCTATAGTGTGGCGCTTTTGCTGGAACTTATGCCCAGGTGAGGCCATGGGGCTAGTTCTCACCAACAAAAGGGAGTGGAAGCAACGTGTGTCCCTTTCCTGCCATGGTCGAGTTAGGAAGCTGGTCTACCTTCTCTACTCTCACTCTCCTCCCCCATCTACCCGCTGGATGCAGGAACCCTGAGGCCCCAGAGGGTAGCAGAGCTACAAGAGGGAGGGGGCCTGGGTCCTTAAATCACCTTGTGAAGAGCTAGCTGCCTGTTACCCTGAACACCCATGTGCATGAAAATCAACACCTGTGGTAGGGCACTGGGATCTTTAAGAATGGATACAGCATCTAGCCTGGTACTAAAACGGATGCCGTGTGTCTTCAAAATAAGCTCCCGGACCAGCCGAGTGGCTCAGTCGGTTAAGAGCTCGCTCAAGAGTTTGAGCTCTGAGCAACAGGGTCCCCGGTTTGATTCATGGCCCGAGCTGAGCTGCTGCTGAGCTGCCAACAGGTGGCAGGATGGCTCAGCTTAAAAAACAAACAAACAAACAAAACCACCAAAATAAGCTCCAGCCATGCTTGTGTGGCTGAAGGCAAAGGGAACCCATCCATCCCTTTGATCCAGGACCCAAGTCGGAAAATCAGGAGCCCTGAAGAGTTGGTCTGTTAGTCTCTCCTGGGGCTGCTGTCACCAAGTCCCACAAAGCAGGTGGCTGAGAACAGAAATGTAGTCTCTTCCAGTCTGGAGGCCAGAAGTCCAAAATCAAGGTGTCCCTGTCCCCTCAGAAACCTTTAGGGGAATCCTTCCCGGCCACTTCCAGCCTCTGGAGCTTGGCTGGCCATCTGGCGCCCCTGGGCTGTGGCTGCATCACTCCGGTCCTCCATCTTCACATGACCTTCTCTCTGTGACTCTTCACACCACCTTCCTGCTGTGTGCATCTATCTGTCCATGTCCCCATTTCCCCTTGTTAAAAGGACACCAGCCGTATTGGATTAGGACCCATCCTAGAACCGCATTTTAACTTGATTACCTCTGTAAAGAACTGTTTCCAAAAGTCCCCTTCTGAGGTCCTGGGGGTTAGGACTTATCACATGTCTCTTTGTGTGGGGGGATGTGGTGACACAATGCGACAGTGAATGTTGGTTGGAAAGTCCAAATTCCTCACTCCGTTAAACAGTACAGGCAAGAGCAGGGACAAGCCTGGAACAGGACCCCAGCCCGTCACAGGCGCCACACGAGGGGCAAGGCGAGCCCCCCCCAGCCCCTCAGCCCAGCCTGCTGATCACCGGCGGTGGAGGCAGAGGGCAAGGGGGATGGGCGAGCACCCACCATGCTGCTAAGGGCCGAAACCCCTCACGGGAGTCGATTCCTGGATAATGGCTAGAACTGACCACAGGCTGAGTGAGATTTTGGGGGACTGTACTGACAGACCTCAACCTGGTCAAGGACTGTGGTTCCTCAGCATCTAGAGGCCAACCTCACACGCTCCAGTCTCACCAAGAAGAGGGCTGAAAGCAGGGCACCCTGGAGGGCTCATCCAACCCCACCACACACCAGGTCACAGGGGGCACGCTGCCCACAGCTCAGAACCAGGACCCATGCAGCTGTCTCCCCAGCTGCCCATGGGCTGGACTGGGGCAGGTGCTAGGGGCGGGGGGCTGATGTGCATGGCTGTCCTGAGCACCTCACTCAAATGGGAGTCCTAACTGTGGCTGCTCCAGGAAGCAGGCAGGACACACACATAGCCGCCAATGACCAAAGGGCAAACCAACAGTGGCCTAAAGACACCCTAAAGGCAGCTGGGGACAGAGATCCCTGGGTTTGTGTAGGAGCTGAGTGGTACTGGGGCTCCTGGTTGGTGACAGTATGATTCTCGTGGTCATGCCATTGCCTCTACCCATCCCGTGTCAGCCTCCCATGCAGAGAAGGCGCAGGTGCAAAGGTCTGTCCCCTCGGTTGCTTCTCTCGTCTTCTTTTCTTTTCTTTTTTTTAATTGGGGAAGTTTGTTTTCCTAGGACCCATCAGCTCCCAGTCAGGTAGTTGTTTCAATCTAGTTGTGGAGGGCGCAGCTCAGTGGCCCGTGCGGGGATCGAACCAGTAACCTGCGCTCTAACCAACTGAGCTAACTGGTCGCCCCAAGGTTCTCTCGTTTTCTGAAGGGTAAACCTCGGATTTCCCGGAAATGCCCCACAGCCCTGCCCGCACCCTCGGTGTGTCCTGGCAATTTAGAGCAGCAGTCTGCCCACCCAGGCTCCAGGGGCACTGACGTGTGCCTGGGGCACACTCCCACTGGAACGGGGTTAGGCTGGTGTCTGTTCTCCCTGAGCCATAAGTGACCGGGCAGAGGAGTGACCTCTGGACCCGAGCGCTGTATCTATCACCCTGCGAAGCCAAACCTGAAGCTGGAGGATATCTGGGGATTGCTTCCCTCTGAAGACAGGCGAGTGTCAACTGGATGGGATGTGACAGGGCTGTGGACATATGTAAAGAAGGGGCAGTCTCCTGGTGTTCCTTTGAGGGACCAAGGGCAGGTAGCCTGGCCGATGCTCGAGAAGCAAAGCTGTCTAGCCCCTGCCCTCCCCACTCCCTGTGCCCAGAACCCACTCAGAGGGCACCCAGGACCAGCACCAGCAGAGAGCAAGCAAATGGTGAACTCAGCTCTGGATGTGCTGCATTGACTCAGGCAATGAAGAACG